TTTTTTCCTTTTCTTTTATCCCATTTTTATTAACGCTTCCTTGATTTAACGAGTGATATCGCGATATTTGCTTCCCTTAAATATGCAAGCACACGATAAAATGGCGGACAGGTTCAAGGACTGATTTGTACCATCGAAAATTTTCATGTGATAAATAATTTTTTGCATTTATTTATAACTAGATGCGTCATAAAACCGATCCTGAAACACATTGTCAACTCTATATATGATGTTTTGCTTTTTTCTGTGCTGTATTTCTGATAAGGAGGCATTGTTTCATTTTATTTTGCCAAACTTTAGAGATTTCCTTAAGTTAAGCTTCGTCGAGCACAATACTGAGATACCACTGATGTTTTACAGTGTTGTGTTGAATGTCCGTTCTGTAATAATCGAAATTTCGAAAGAGAACGTTTGGAAATGGCTGAGATAGATTTTTTTTATATTGTAAACCGTTTTAATTTTTTTTCCTGTGGACATGTATGTATGTATATTTTGATAGATTAATGGATGTGTTATATGTGCGTGTTTATATGCGTGTTATAAAGAAAGTACGTTATTTTCCTTTTTTTATGATAGATCAATAAATCTGTAGCCTGACTCTGAATGTGGATCTGAAATTTTCTCTGTATAACTTTCAAATTAATATTCTGTACTGAATTAAATGTATTGACTAGAAAGGATATTATTTTGTGAAATAGAATACTTTTTGATCATTCAGCTACAGACTTATTGATGTAATGCCATATATATATATATATATATATATATATATATATATATATATATATCTATCCTGTGAAATCCTGTGTTAATATATATATATATATATATATATATATATATATATATATTATGAAATGGACAAAGTCCGACAATTATTTTAAGACATTTTTATGTTTAACATTCTTTTTATAGATACAAATATTTAGTATAGGATACAGGTTCGAATCCTGTCGGAGGACGAATATTTTCTATGAAAATTTCTCGGACATTCAGGCCGGTAAATGTAGTTTAATACTGTATATGAAAAACTTAGCATTTACTTAAATATTTGTATCTATAAAATGAAACATAAAATGTTTTAAATATATATAAATATATATATATATATATATATATATATATATATATATATATATATATATATATATTACTTCAAACGTTATTTTTTAGTAGATACCTATATTTGAGTAGACGCTACGTTTTATTTTAAACAGTATTTATTTCGTCAACTGGCATGCGTAGTACAGAAAACTGAAGAAAGGTAATGTACTGTCCGATCCGACATGCTTTGACCGATCGGCTACGTTGAACTCCACAATCAATCAGCCGAGCAGTTAAAAATCAGTTGATGTCTTCCTCCTGCAAAGAGCAACGCTGGTTCGAATTCTACCGGAGGCTACATTTTCTTTATGAAGTATTATCGGCGGTAGACTAAATAAATACTGTTTAAAATCAAATAGAGCGTCTACTCAAATACGCGTATCCGCTAAAAATAATGTTTGGTGTAATATATATATATATATATATATATATATATATATATATATATATATATATATATATATATATACAGGGTGATTGAAAAGTAACTCCCTATTTTAAAATACTTATAATTTATTTATCAACTATAATTTTTACAAGAAATGGATATGAGAGGAAAGCGTTTAGCGTGAAGTTTTATTTAAAATGCGTTATGGGCACCAGATTTTGCTGCCACCCAGGAATCGCATCAATTGATTTCACCAGGAACTCTTGTGCTATGAAAGACATAACTTCTTGTATTCGCCCTTCAGGTACTTCCAAATCTTAATTTGGTATAGTAAACTGGCTCCATTAACCGACTCCAAAGAAAAAAGTCACAAGGTTTTAAGTCGGGACTCCTGGGTGGCCACTCATACATAAAATAGCAAGTCACTTTTCAATCACCCTGTATATATGTCTTGAGGTTGTAAAATTATTGATGTACCTACTTAAATATACGAGGATGCTGAAAATTTCTAAACACGCCATACTTTTTAAAAAAATCTAAACAAATAGAATGTTTATAAATGTGTTTTTTGGTCGGGTCAAGAACTTTTCAGCACCCTACCCTCTTATTTAATCAATTTTCTTGCTTCTTTGTTGCTTTTTATTTTCTTTAGAGATTTTATTTTTTGTATTCAATGAACCTTTACATCAATAATACCTAGTTTCTTTATTATTCGTTCATAAACTTGCATGATCACACAAGATGCCTAGTGATTGCCATTGGTAACTGAGTAAGTTTTCGACACCTCTTCAGGTTTAACATGTATTTTACAAGCTTAAACATGATGTCAAAAAATGACAGAGTATTTAAGTAAACTAGCAATGGCACTGTACTCATGAAATATCAAAGACTTTATGTTGCTTTGCATTTTTTGTCTATATTCAATACTTGTTGAATATTAATCTCATGGTAAATTTAAGCAGAGAAAACATATCCTCAGTCTGTCACCGGAAGTGTCTACTACATAGAGATGAACGAATGACAAATCAATGTCTAATGGAATCCTGTGTTTATGTAAAAATATGTCAAAAACAAAATATATATATATGTGCGCGTGCGTATAAGTGTGCGCGTTCGCGCGCGTTTGTGAATGGCCATTGTATTATATATGTTGATATGTTGCAACCACAATCATGATTATTATTAACAGCACCACCATCGCCGTCATCATTACCATTATTCATTTTCACTCACCATCATCGACATTATGATTATTATTATTAATATTATTTTTATCATTATTATTATTAATAATATTATTATTATTGTTACAGTCCGATCTCTTTTACCCGGCACCTTTGGGACCAAGCCAGACGTCAGAAATAGCCCCTAGTTCACCCCTAGCAAAATCTATGTAAACATAGTCTTGCCAGCTAATTCCACATATATATTGATGTGTTATCAAAGGTTTAACAAAACTTAAAACGGTAAATCAGACAATCATTAATGCTTCCAAATAAGGTTTTTCTCGTTTCATAAAATAGAAAAAGAAAAAAAGAAGCCTAATACCAAAAAATAATATATACTTACTATCCTGAGGGGATAAATATGCAGCTATATATAAGAAATGAGCAACAGCATATTACCAAATCAATCTGCTGCTGCCGGCTGCTACAGAAACTTGTAAGCTGATTAAAAAATGCACGGTACCATTGATATTACAGGGCCAGCGATTTGCCAGACCACGGGGTGACGGATTATAAAAAGGTCGAACTGTATTATTATTATTATTATTATTTTATTTCCTTTGATTTCTGATGTGTACACCATTTCTTTCCGGGTCCCGCCCAGAGACCTAAGGTTAGAAATGGCATCATGACATTTTCCACTGCAAAAAAAAAAAATATTTTACATAGATAAAGCCCTTCCTAAGGTGTGGGCTGTGCTCGTGAGAACAATTTTTTGTATTTCTTTAAGACATGGGCTTCCAGGAATCCCTTCAATTAGTCTATTGGAATTTTTTCCAACCAATCTGAGGGCTCCAGCTACAACAGGGATTGTCGATGTTCCCATGTGCCACATTTTTGAGATATCAATTTCAAGGTCCTTGTATTTTGATAGCTTTTTGAAGATCTTCAAAGATACATTGCAGTCCGCAGGGACTGTTATATCAATAAGAAGGCACTTGTTTTGTTTGCGGTCTCTATTATTATTATTATTATTATTATTATTATTATTATATATTTTGTGTTTGCTGCTATTGTCTTTTCTTTTTTATTCTTTTTTATTTTTATTGACGAAGTGACCAGCGTATAATCGCCTGAAACCTGTTGAGCCAACAGCGATGGTCGGAGGTAACTTTTATGCTACTTTTTCTATTGCAGACCCGGATGGGTGGGGTATCCACTTTCACCCCAACCAAGAGACAGCCACTAATCATTACGTACTACACAGGAAAGCAAAAAGTCCCGGTTTTCGGAGCTCTAGAACTCAGCACGTTCAATTAGAGAGGAAAAAAAAAATCCAAGTTTAAAAAAAACAAAAAAAACGAAAACAGACATTAAGCAAAAAAAAAAGCTGTACCTACGTGACGTATATTCTATTTATATTTATACACATGGATACACACACACACACACACACACACACACACACACACACATATATATATATATATATATATATATATATATATATATATATATATATATATATATATATGCATACAGACACATATATATAACTATATATAAAGATATTAAGCATATGTATGGATGCATATACACGCATATGTAAACATATTAAGTGCTCATAAAGATATTACTATATATATGTCTATGACAAAAACCACTTAAATTGTTATATATGCAAGTATATATGCATATATGCATTTATATATATATATATATATATATATTTACTGAAAAATGCATAGATAGCACATTTATATATATATATATATATATATATATATATATATATATATATATATATATATATATATGTGTGTGTAAATATGTATGTGTGTGTGTGTGTGCATGTGCTTGTTTATGTATGCATTTATGTATAGGAACGCTATACATGCCATATATATGTGCATATATACGTTTATATATGTATATATGTGTGTGTGTGTGTGTGTGTGTTTGTGTTTGTGTGTGCTTGTATGCATCTGTGTGTATTACATATACATATATTTAGCTATATATGTCACGTATATATGTAGCCGTACATAAAAAGCAATATACGGGCACTATGGATCCGTTGGTTATTAACAGATATATCCATACAGCTGCGTATATGTGTATATATAAAATACGTACGTATATATTCCTTGAAGTATGTGTAAATATATACATCAAAATAGGTCCCTTTGCGTCAAGAACGTCTGACACCTAAAATTCGGCTATGACAATTATTATTAATATTATCGTTACTGTGACTTACACACTGTTTTAAAGAGATCGTAACACCTGAAGATACATTTTCAAATATTTTTTTCTAATTAAAAAATATATATATATATATA